GAATACAACTTTAAGATACACTCAACCTCAACAATCAAGCTAAACAAACACTGTAACGTCTCTCGTGCCCTGTGACTGCAGTTCAATTACTCACTATCTACACACACATTACATTCCCCTCTTTTATATACCAGCCTACCCTATATCCAGTAAGAACTAGAACATTCGCCAAAGTACAGGATAATTCTAGAAAGTAGAGAGCGTGAGAATCACATGATCTCGATGACGCAACACTACAAAGGGTTGGAGGATGTGGTCACTATCATGTGTAACATTAATGATACCATTCTGCACGTTGTGGAGGTCGTTTCTTTCTCCAGATCTTATTGTTCACAGCTCGGATTTTAGCACTGTAAGTTCGGAAGCTTACCGCTGACTCATTGGGAGACATTTTGATGAGTTAGATCTTACAACGCGCATAAATAAACAAAATAACTTATTAGTTACTGGAAAAAAGCTATACTTATTATATATAAATTGATCTCGACCAAGAATAATGTTTAAAGATATATATATTACCACGCTTGACAAAGGTAATAGAGGCATCAATTTTGAAAAGATCTACCATAAATCTTTGACCTTTTTGCCGTGTTTTTTACGATTTATTTTGCCGCAAAAATTCAGCAAAATAAGGTACGTCAAAAGAAATATGTTAATGAATATAAATGAAGTTGTAATTAAATGGGACTTTCTGAGCAACAGTAAAATATACAACAAATAAAATTTAAATTCTACGACGAACGGAAGTATTTTTTTAATCTTTTTTTTATTCAAAAGACTGATAGAAAAATTAAATGGAATTAATTCGAAACTAGACAATATTCACTAAGTTTTTTCTGAGTTTCATGCAATTTGGTTATTGTTTGTTTTGTAATTAGGCACAAAGCTACACAATGGGCTATCTGTGCTCTGCCCACCACGGGTATCGAAACCCGGATTCTAGCGTTGTAAGTCTGCAGACATATCGCTGTGCCACTGGGGGGGGGGCAATTTGGTTATTATTTCCACTGTGAGAAGAAAACAGTTAAGGAATATCAGTGAAAGTTTTAATGAAATCAGTCGAGGTGTTCTGAGTATCATTTCGATATAGACGAAAAGTGGGAATTGACAACAATATCACAAACGGTGGATTTCCGGTTTTATATATAAAGAAATTTTGAGAGCTTTATTTTCCCCCGAAAAAGTACATGGGCGACTGTCTTTGTTTGTAGTTAAGCACAAAGCTACACAGTGGGCTATCTGTGCTTTACCCACCACGGGTATCGAAACCAGGTTTCTAGCGTTATAAGTCCTTGGACTTACCGCTATACCACTAGGGAGCTCACAAAGTTGACACTTCTGTCAAGATCATCCACTACAGGCTAGATGAGACGAGCGTAAAAACCACTACATTAGTTCATTCTGCTATATTATGTTATGTATTTTGAGCTCATCCTTTTTATCAATCTGCTGTTTCCTCAATTCTAAATAAATATACACGTTTTGTTTTGCCAAGTCATTAGTTATATCATTTTTAGTGTGACACTTTATTGTAGTAAGTGTGTTAAATCTAAAAAGATACACATGTGCAATTCGAACGATATTGTGGTTGGTGTATTATAACAAGATACTCAAGACGTTTTATTGGGGTTTTTGTCACAGAAGGTGCAAATTGACTGATGTGAAAAATATAGTGTGATTAGCATATTATTATGATAGAATGATTTATTAGAATTGTTCTATTAACCAATACACTAAATAAATACATTTTAGAAGTTATATCCTGTAAATTTATGTTTTCAGAATTTTCCCTCAGTTCCAACTAAAGTCTACTTAGAAGAAGAACAAGTAAGTTGCTAAGACAAAATCAGCACCTCGAAATTACAGTCTTCTCTTGGCACTCTTACATTTAATAAAAAATATGTTAAAAGCAATGGTGTAACTAGGTCTCAAAGGGCCTGGGGGCAATTTTTTTTTGCTTCTCCCTATTATTATTTTACCATGTTTCAGAATATTTTGACCTCAATCTCGATATTAAAAATTTTCAATTACCAAGTAGTTATGATATTCTTGTTCACCAGATGTCTCAAGATCACAAACATGTGCTAATTCTTTTACACAGGTAAAGGCTATGTACTGCAACATTTGTTTGAAGAAGAAGAAGAACTGG